AATAATTAAAATTTAATTTAGTATATATAAGGTAATAGCACTTATTATAAAATTCTTTAATGACGGCAAATTAGTTTTTTTTTTCTATTATTGATTATTTTTTTATATAATAATAATAACATAATTTTTTAATGAAAACATATGTAAAAATAAATGTAATTTATTAATTATGATATGTAAAATACATTATTCTAGTGATTCAAAACCATATAAAAGGGTTTTAATTATGAGTTGAATATTACATAATTAATGGTAGAATGAAAATTAAAATTCAGACAAAATAAGTACTTCAAAAAAAAAAAAATCATATGAATCACATGATATGTTCTTTGTTTTATTCACTTTTTTGCGGCTTAGTTGATAATTACACTATTTATTGTGAATTTATCGTATAATCTATCATTTTATTTTTCTCTTTTTATTTTATATAAATTAATAATATATATTTATTAAATTTATATATTTAATAATTAAGTAGTATATATAAACTAATATAATACAATAAAAATAATATTTAAATAAAAATACATGTGAGAATAACACTTGACTTAAATACACAATCTCTTTCAAAAGAAAGAACACACTACCTATTGTGAATTTATTGTATTTTTAAGTGAACCTACCATTTTATTTCTCTCTTTTTTAATTTTTTATTTTACATAAATTAGTAACATATTTTGTTTTATTAAATTCGTACATTCAGTTAAGCATTAATTAGTAATTAATAAGAGATTTAATAAAGTATTTTCTACACATTGATATTGAGTTTAAGATCAGACCCTCACTAATTCTTACTAGAGAAGAAGTAACCAATGAATTAAGGCTGAACATTTTTTATTTTATTTTATTTTATTATTAATTTAGTTCTTATTAAAGTTACCGTGAAATTAATATTAAATACTTGACTGAAAATTTGAGCTCAAATTTTTAAATAAGATTTTTGTAACGGCTCCCGAATTTTAAAATTAAATATGTGTATCAAAAATGTCAAATGCGGAAGCGTAATAAAAACTTTGATTAACATCCCTTACATCAAAACAAAAAACGTGCTCAAAGTATAAAAGAACAAACTAACTAAAAGAGAAACTCGAAAATGAAATCTATAAATATAACTACGGAGTCTTCAGGCGTCCCCTTCGCCATCTTTCTGCGGAACGGGCTCGGGAACAATGTCTTCCTAATCTGAAATGATTAAATAAGGAATGAGCTACACCAGCCCAGTAAAGACATCACACTATCTCACCGTCCCGGAGGTAAAGGTGGATATAAAATACAAAAAGACCAATGGAGCATAATTTACAACAAATTCTTTTATCAATAATAAAATCCTTTACTATCCACTTACCTCGGTGAAGTTCATAAAATAACATACGAAAGCAATAACATTATCATCATCATGAAATCATATGAACTGTATAACATAATACTTATCACGCCTTTTGTATTTCAATCGTTACACAACATATTTTTCCTCATTTACCAGCCTACTAGTATCCATGGGGATCCATAGGGGTCCCGTTACCCGTGAACCCTTAACACTTGTAATCAGATTCCAGGGCCATTCCCATACCTCGTCCGGTATGGGTGCCAAAACTATAAACCTCAATACCCCGTCCGGTATGAGGGTGAAACGGGCCGTCCCCACACCCCGTCCGGTATGGGCGCCAAAACACATAATGTCTCCATATCTTGTCCAGTATGAGAGACCACAATTCCAATAGGGTTCCCTACGGACCTGGTCCGTCCACCATCTCCCAGGATATCTAGTCAGGCTGACCACATTATACAATTATCAATTTACTTAACCTTTCATTCCCCTTTTTCCTCAGTCAGCATCATCAAATCATACACAAACAAGCAAACCAGTAATTTATGCCAAACAAGACAACATACAACATCGGGTTCTCAGTCATTTAACCCATAATCAATAAAACAGTGATATATGTACACGAAACTATGAAATGAAAACATCAGACCTCATACTGCATTTAAAAACTGTAAAATAGGCCAAACAATAGCTGATCGACAAACACATCAGACTCGGGCTCCATTAGCGACCTTAAACAATTTCACACATCTATTGATTCATGAAATACCGTTTTATCATTTATTAAACTTTAATACCGTGATAGGAAATAGGGTGAGGGGTCCTTACTTATTTTCGGGGTCTGAATACGGCTCTACAGTGCGCCTACAGGCTGTCCCTAATTTTTCCGGGGAACTGAAACGCACTACAGGTACCTGCACGTGTCCCAAAAAATCCCAAATTAGACCCGGGACCCCTTTCGACCAATATCGCAATTCTGGCACGGCGGCTCTGCCGTGCTCTGGCGACGGTGCCGCCGCTTGCGGCGGCGATTCGCCTCGGGTTGGCCGTTTTCGGCCGAATTCGGTCACACTTACATCGGTCCCTGCGATAAAACAACCCTAGGGCTCTCGGGGGGCCAAAAAATTACGAAAAACTAAAGCTTACCGGCGGCGGTGCTCTCGGGTGCGGCGGCTCTCCGGCGAGGTTCGTGTTTTGGTGATTTGGCTCCGATCAACCTGTAGAGAAAAGAATAGTGATCATGGTGATATAAAAATTGTATCAAAATAGAGGCCGGGAAGGACCTCATCGGAGGCAAAAACCGAGGAGGGGCGTGGTGGCGCTGCTGAGTTTCGGCCGTGTTTTTCAGCCGCTTGGCCGGGAGTTTGGCTCCGATTTGGGCACAGGGAAACTCAGCATTGAAAAACGAGCCGGGGGTATGAAATTTACCTCGATCGGCGGTTGGAAAACTCCCCGGTACGGCGGCGGGTGGCGGCGGCCGGCTCCTCCGGCGTCTGATTTGTCTTCTCCGACGAAGGCATGCGGCTAGGGTTTTTGTGGTCAGGTGTGGGGGTTTTATTTATACCATTTTGCCTTTTAATCACAGCCGTCCATCTTGATTAAATCTGTACCGTTCGTACTTGATTGAATCTGGGCCATCCGTGCGCGTGCATCTGGGCCGTCCGTGCGCGTGCATATGGGCCGTCCGTGCGCACGCTTGATCTGGGTCGTCCGTGCGCGCGGGGACGCATCTGGGCCGTCCGATCGCGCGCATGCGGATCACCCACGTGGCCCGTTCCCGGGTCGACGTGGTCTTGCCACGCGGCAGGTCCTGGTTGGCCAGGGCTACTGACTGGGCTGCTGACGTGGCGCTGACGTGGCACAATTTTTCTAAATTACGTTTTGACCCCCAGTTTCCGATTTTCTTTTCAAAAATACCCCCAGAATCTTAATTTTCACCCCTTTTTCCCAAAATCAATTTCAATTAAATCCAAATAATATTTTTACCCAATTTTATCATTATTATTATTTTATTTTTATTTAATTAAATTAAATTAAATTAAATAAATCAATTAAAATTCAAAAATTATAAACTAAACTAAATAAAATAAATTAAAAAAAATTAAAATAATAATAATAAAAATTATAAAATTAGTGGGTGTTACAATTTTATTATTTGCATAAATTAAATCTAGTAATTAACTTTCTAGTACTTTTACTTCATGATTTCGGATACAAACTTCACTAAGATGTATAGTATAAATTATAACTGGTTGATTTAAATTATTTAATTCAGTAGATTTGGGATTTAACTCACAAATATATTTATGTGATTGTATTAATTGAATTTTATCACGGTAGAATATTATGTTTCCGATTAAAAAAAAAAATATGACGGCTAAAATTTCTTAATTGAAGATAATTATAATGTATTAATATTGTATTTAATATTCTATTTCATTAGAGAAAAAAGATTATGAAAAAAAGACTCTTAAATTTATAAAGAACAAAAAAGCTTCAAATAATACTGAAAAAATATATAAATACAAAGGAACGAAGCATTCTCACACTAACATATTTAAGGATCAAGTATGAAAAATGTTCTGTCTTTTGTTTAATTTTTTTTTATATATAACAAAATGAATTTAATTATTCAAGTCAATATTATAATTTAACTGAATTATTGAAAACTTATATTTTAAATTATTTCTCTTAATTTATATGTTAGTTAAATTCAATTCTTATTTATAATTTATTCAAAATCGAGATTGTGATATGTGAAAATAATAACATTAAGTAATTAAAAAATTATATTTATTTTCTAAATTAAACTTATGTTAAAATTAAAATATTTATAGATTAATTATATTAAAAATTATACTAATACTAAAATTAATTAAAATTTTATCGTCTGTCTAATAAAAAAATATATTAAAATTAAACATTTAGAATTAAAACTTACCCTGAAACTAAAACTACATAATAAATAAAACATTATTAAAATTATAATAAATTGGAGTCTGTAGGTATCAGCCGTAGAGATTTTCCACTCTCTTTTCCTCAAAGTGCGACCAAGTTGATGGCTGGATAAGTCAAAAACATGGTCTTTGAATATCATCTGCACTGCAACTTTCCACATTTAGCGGATTTAATTTAGCCGCCATGGATGAACGCTTGTCCGCGTAATACAAATCTTTAAATACCTCACCACTCAGTCCACCATTTCACAAAATAAAAGCAAACCAACTAGACCCAGCATTTCAACTCCATTAACAGACGTTCCCCAGCCAGACAAGACCTCCCTTCGCAGACATGGCTGAAACCACACCTCCACACCACCACAAACAAGGTACACACACACACACACATATATATACACACTTTTATATGATATCTGATTACCCTTTAAAAATTTGGTTTTAATACTATACAAGTTACTAACTTTCTTATTCCATTTTTGCAGAAGTTCAAGTAGTACAAATCCCAGTTCATCACTCAACAGAACAGTCCCAATTTCTCCCACCACCACCTCATAAACAAAAGAAATGGTGGTTCTGGGTCGTCTTCTGCATAACCTTGCTCATAATAGGCCAATTCTGCGGCAGAATTCTTCAAAAGATTTTCATCAATGAAGGAGGAAGAGGCACATGGATGATTGCTCTTATTCAAACCGCTGGATTTCCCATCTTAATCCTCCCACTTATCTTCTCTTCTTTCTCCAAAACCCCTCCCCCCAATCCCCCCATCATTTCCACAGAAAACCCATCTCTCTTCAAGCTCTGTTTAATCTACTTCTTCCTCGGAATCCTCTTAGCTGCTTCAACCATGTTATACTCAGTCGGGATCTTGTACATTTCTGTCAGTAGATTCGCTCGAATTTGCGCAACCCAGTTAATTTACACCCTTATATTTTCCAACTTCATCAATCACCATAAAGTCTCCAACTTCGTAAGTATCTCTGCAATTCTCATCACTCTATCAGCCGTCTTTTCAACAATTAATGGCTATTCCTTTCCGGGTAAGCCAAGCACGGGTTCACCCATTCCCGCCATCGGTCACCCGCTCACTCAAATTGCATCAATTGCTTACTGTTTGATGCTTTCCCTAATGCGATTAAGCTTCGACAAAGTGATACTAAAAAGGACGAACAAGACGAGGGTTAGAGCTGTGTTGGAAATGCAGATTTTCACAGCAATGGTGGCTTCGATCATTCTGGTTATAGGGTTATTGGCGACGTCCGAAAGGACGAGTACTGTGAGCTTTGTTTCAGGGTTTAACAAAGGGACGAAAGGGTATGTGTTGATCTTGGTCGGAGCTGGTTTGGGTTGGCAAGCTTTCTCTGTTGGGGCTCTGGGTCTGGTTCTGTTGGTTTCGCCATTTTTCTCAAATGTGGTTAATGTGTTTGTGATGCCATTTTTACCAGTAGTTGCAGCTCTGTTCTTTGATGGGTCAATGTCGGTGTGGAAGATAATCGCCGTGCCCTTGGCCCTGGTGGGTTTTGGGTTTTACCTTCATCAGCTTTATGGGTTTGGAGATGGAGAAACTCGAGAAGGAGGCTCCGGACAGAACAACGAGGGCGAAGCGTAGGATTAACATATATCATAGAAATTGTTTCTGTTAATTGTATAATGTTATTTGAAATGTTGTGATTCTTTTTATTCTTTGATTTACTTTTGTAGTGGGAATTTGGTTGTAATATTTGTATTTGGTTATTAAGAAATTGTATTGTGTTGATTAATTGTAATTAAATTATATTTTCCAATTTTAATAAAATTTATAATACAAAGTTATATAGTTGTTCTAAATATTCAAATAAAATAAGCTCCTCTTTTTTTTATTGTACCATATCTTATTTTGGACCGTATTGATTTAAATTAAGGTTAGATTGATCCGAATGGAATTGTATTGAATTTATTGTTTTAAGTTTTAATTAATTCAAATAAATAAATAAATTATTTATTAATAAAATTTAACAATGAAATTATACATAATTATCTTTATATCGCATTTGAAATTAAATTTATCTCAAATTTTAATTCAACACAACCTATTTTTAGTAAATTTTAATTCATTGTAATCGGAAAATAAATCAACTTTATATACAACATAATCATAGTTGTTTGATGATGATTTCTTGAATTCAACCCAATCTATTTTTAGTAAATTTTAATTCATTGTAATTGAAAATAAAAATCAACTATATATATATATATATAACATAATTATAGTTTTTTAATGATGATTTCTTAAATTCATAACATCATATTTCATAACATATATATTTTTAGTTTTTAATCTTTTAAAATCAAATGGACCTTTTTTTTTTTTAATCCGATTTGAGCTTTTCCTCCACTAGAATTAACTTTAATTTTTATTTTCATTTGTCTCAATTCTTTTTTAGTTCTCAAATTTTTTTTTTTTAATAACGACAAAATTTAGATTTTGAAATAAAGATCAAAATTCCGACATTAATTATTTCTATTTACATAATAATAATGTTATAATTTTTTTTAATAAGAACACATGTGATAATAAATACAATCTATTAATTAAAACATATAAAATACACAACTAACGATTTAAAACCACATTTTTTATATAAAAAGACAGACGTGTTCATTTATCCACCATTTATTAATTCTCCGTGAGATATAATAATGAGTTAAACATAACATATTATGTTTTTAATTATATAAATTTATATTTGTTTTTATTTAAAGGTTACTTTTATTATATTATAATTAATATAATACAATTATAGAAATAGTGGCGTAATTATCAACCAACCCCCCTAAAAGTGAATAAAACAACGAAGACATCACGTGATTCATATGAATTTTAGCAATAGGTAGAACTTTTAAATTTATGATTCCAACCGTACATGGGGATGTTCTCTTGATCTTTTTTTTTTCTTGTATGTATTTTAATATAAATCTTACCCGATTCAAATCCACAATAACTTTTACAAAATTTAATTAAGTATTAATAACCTAATTTAACTAAGCCTGATATTGAATTCAAGATGAAGCGCTCACTAATTCTTAATGAAAAAAAGAAATAACTAGCTGAATGGAGGCCCAGAACTTTCAGTTTTATTTTAATTATTAATTCGGGTCTCGTTAAAGTTACTAATGAAACTGTAAAAAACTTGTTTGAAATTTATTAAAAACATTGATTTTACCCAAGAAAAAGAAGTTGATTATTGAATAATTTGATTGATTTTTAAATGAACCAGTTCACCCAATCTTCCATGTGAACTAAATGATTGTTAACCATTAGTGGGTGGGTCGACAGACAGCTTACTGTGCTCACGAGCTACACAGCCCGCAACCAACCCACCAGCAAATGTCAACAAACAACAGAAATCAAACTTGTTCACGTAAATTCAATTTTCTTCTTCATCTTCTAGATTTCTCTCTTTCAATCCCCTAGAAAATAAAGAAAGCTAGATACTTTTTCTATTTCTGCTTTTCCCCCTTGATCCTACATTTATATATATTATGACATTTTGGCTCATCAATATGATTCGGATGTTATCGTGTATGTACTGTAAGTTCGAACTCTTGTCTTCTATTTTTGATCTGGGTCTTACTCCATTGCTCGGATATGCCATGTGTCTCTGTTCTTCGATTCTGACTTCACTATTCGTACATTATTTATATGTATTTCATGTTCGGTGTGCATTTCAAATGCTTGTAAAAGAACTATACTTGAAAAATACTAGTCCTACAGAGCATTACTACTTACCATGATACTCTCGATCTACTTCTCGTATTGCTAAATCCCAGCTGATTTCCAACCTTACCATGTCAAATTTGCAGAAATAAATGGCTGATGCTCCTACTTTAGCATTCTATATCACGATATGTTGCATTGCTTTCGTTATATCAAAGATCATCATTTCAGTTCTCCTTTATAAACAATGGAAAAGAAAACGAATGGTCTATGAAGATGGATTTTCAGGTAGATCAATGAGTAAGCTACTTTCTGAACTGGGATGAGAGGAAAATATAGATGCTAATTTTACCAGAAAATGCAGGGGGGAAGATGGTTATGTTCAGGTCTCCATTGCTGCTGCAATCTCTTACATCTGATATGTTATTAAAGAAGGTGCTGAAATTAAGCAATAAGGATATCATTGGTTCTGGAGGATATGGAACAGTTTATAAGTTGGCTATAAATGAATCTGCAGCCTTTGCTGTGAAGAGACTGAACAGAGGAACTGCAGAAAGAGATCGGGGATTTGAGAGGGAATTGGAGGCAATGGTCGACATCAAACACCGGAATATAGTCACTCTCCATGGATATTACACTGCTCCTCACTACAATCTTCTCATATATGAATTGATGCCTAATGGAAGCTTGGATTCATTCTTGCACGGTATGCATATATTGCACCAATCTAGATGCTGTATCTTTACAACTCATTCTTATGTATTTTCATGAATATTAAGTCTAAATTTCAAAAATTATCTTTAAATGCTAAGAGGGCTGCTGATGCAGGAAGATCAACAGATAAGAAGGAGTTGGATTGGCCAGCGAGATATAAGATAGCACTAGGTGCTGCAAGAGGAATATCATACCTTCATCATGATTGCATCCCTCACATTATTCACAGAGACATAAAGTCGAGCAATATATTGCTGGATCAGGGCATGGAAGCTCGAGTTTCTGATTTTGGACTTGCCACATTGATGGAGCCTGATAAGACTCATGTATCAACATTCATAGCCGGAACTTTTGGATATTTGGCTCCGGGTACAAGAAAATGAATCCTTATCACATCAGTCCCTGCCATTCTCTGAGTTTTTCTAATTTAATCACCAGCTAAACTAAGTTCTTCCACAGAATATTTTGACACGGGGAAAGCAACTGCAAAAGGCGATGTGTACAGCTATGGGGTTGTTTTACTAGAGCTTTTAACAAAGAAAAAGCCAACAGATGAAGCATTTTTTGAAGAGGGAACCAAGCTGGTTACATGGGTAAGTTGTTGATCTAGAATATACTTCATCCTTCCGCGGACTCCTCACTATTCACTTGTCATGAAAACTATTAACACGGGTATATCTGAAAGCACTTAATCTTTTATCCTATTTGAAATACTTATCGAATACATACGTTTCTGGGTTGTTTTATTATATGTTGGAACAGGTAAAAGGAGTTATCCAAGACAAGAGGGAAGAGAATGTCATCGATAGTAGCTTACAGAGTTACCCAATTGATGAGATCAACCATGTTTTTAACATCGCATTGATGTGTCTAGAGCCAGAGCCGGCCATTAGACCAACAATGGCTGAGGTTGTCAAGATGCTAGAGAAAATTAAACCAGCTGAGAAGCTTGTAAAAGATCACTAACATCTCTTTTACAGCTCCCTACACCCCTTTTCTTTCGGATGTTCATGACTCATTTTGTGCGTAACTAATATTCCGTATATCACAGTCACAGGCATGTGTTACTCAGAGACAGTAAAAAATTCATGCCTGTTGATGTATTTTCTTTTCGAGTTTATAGTGACAGTTGTCTATATAGACCTCCAAGAAAATGCAATACCAGGTTTTATAGCAGCTAACATCAATATGCTTTAAAGAAAAAAGGAATCAAAGTAATGACAAGTGGAGAAAATAACATGTGGAATCGTTTACTGGAGAATTTTTGCTAGCTGATCAGCAACCGAGGATTTCAAGGAAGGAGAAACAGGAGCATCTCCGAAAAATACATCAAAGAGAGCAGAAGTGACATTTGCTGACTCAATTGTAGCATCTGCCTCAGAAGGAAACCCTCCAGATGAGACACAAACCTGAAAATAATAGGGTAGACTTCTGGGTCAGTACACCCTGGATATTTAACGTAAAAATGGAGGATGGTGAAGTTCTTGTTAGTTCGTGCAATGGCAAAGTACTCTAATTTTGCATGTTGAGAAAGTTCTTGAGACTCACAAGCATTTTAGATGCATCCAGCCAAGTCAAAAATATTAAAGTTCCTTTCTTGAGAGGTCTCCCTTGGAAGATGCCACGGACTTTGGATAAAGCAGATTCATCGATGGGTGTAGAGGATTTGATTCTTGGGGAGATGGCTCCATCTAAAGCATCCCAAAAAGTTTTACCATCAACGTCTCGTACCAGGGTGATCTGCAATGATTTCTCAAGAGGAACTGCATGCATAGAAGTTAAATTGCTGATACAGAGTACAATATGAGATTCGTTAGAGAACTTTATTACTTCCCTCTTTCTTCAGAGAGTAAGAAAGCATCTAAATCAGTAGCATCATTACCCTGAAAAATAGACTTGAAAAGGGATGAATCCTTCTGAATCTCAGATGCTGAGAGGCCCTTCCAGAATTCAACCCACATAAGATGGATTCATTAATATATAGTCCCGCAGCATAGACCTTAACACCTATATAGCAAAAACCTTCTCCCTGTAGCCTG